GTTGTACACTGGCAACATAAACATGTACTTCTGTCTAATCCCATTTATTCAAGGTTTTCAAGTAGCTCGTCAAATATTTATTACTGAGATATAGGATCTTCTTAAGCATATGTCATCTTTCTCCCTGTGTTGGCCCTACAGTGGTTAAACATTGTAACAGGCTGCCCAGGGAAGTGGGGGAGTCACCATCCCTGGAGGTATTTAAAAGACATGTAGATGAGGCGCTTAGGGACATGGTTTAGTGGGCATGGTGGTGTTGGGTTGACGGTTGGACTTGATGATCTTAGAGGTCTTTTCCAACCTTAATGATTCTATGATTCTATGATTCTATACTATTTAGCCATCAAGTCGTCGCTACAAAATAGGCCTTGACAACACTCGTCATAAATGGACTCATTTCAGGTCATGTACTACTTAGCGGGGTTTATCTGACACTTAATTCATCAGACTTTCACATCAAGTTAAGTAAGCCAGGGTGGAATTTCTGTCATCTGATGGGACTTAAGTACACAAAATCCATGTAATGCAGAACAGCAAAGCTGATGTGAATCCAAGCTCCACCAAAGTCGTGGGCTGCTCTGCTTTTGGTTTCTAGCTTAGGTCCACTTCTAATTAAATAATAGAAAAACTCTTTGCACAGCAAAATGATGAAAATTGGTTGCTACCTGTAAGGTAATGTGGTCCATGAGTTTCAATAGCATTTCTTCACCCATTTTTCTTTGGCAATAGGAAACATTCAGGGCAGGGGAAGGGTGGTCTTGGATAATGTGTTTCAGGTAGATTGTGAAAATACGGAAGTGAAGTGGAAACAATGGGGTGTGTATTAATGAATTTATATTCCCTAAGTTTAGGGACGTGATTTAAAAATAGTGTTCCTGTGTAATACATGGCAAGAGGTAGTCCGAAGCATCCTTTGGGGATACTCTTAGTCACCTCCCTCCACAGACTGGGGAGGGTAAAGAGATGAGCGTCCTAGTTTAGAGTCATACAGGGAAATCCATCTGATCTCACTTTAAATGTCTAGAAGTCAGAGGTTCAAGTCCAAGCTAGTCACAAGGCTCTCCTTATACTCACTGTCTTTGATACCTATTTTAGCTTGTGGAGACTACTACTCTGGAGGTGTCCTTTTCTCCCCATTGACTAAAAGCTGGGAGCTTAGACCACTGACTAAAATGCAGATAACCTGTTACTAGACATGCAAAGTTTGGGTGAAGTCGAGGCCAGAGGAGTGGGGCACGGTGGGTAGCCCTGTCTCTCCGCAGCCGCACATAGCTTTATGACCAGCTCTTGGTCGTGAATGTGCCATTTCTGAAGGATCTCCTGGCCTTGCACGGCACTGCTGTCTGTCCAGGTACCCTTGCAGGAGCTTGTATTCATTATGAACTTCTCTTGGAAATGTAGTCCAAGGGTGGACTACCGTGCCATGAAGAAGGGTGATCTATGTGCCGCGCTGCTACCCTTTATTCCCTGATCAACCAGGTGTTTGTACATGCTTCCTAACTTCTTTTAGTGTTTCTGGATTCAGTTCAATGTCATTGCAACTGTGTCCTCTCCTGTGCCTAGTTCAACACTTAGCTGCCTTTATTTTACATGTTCTCTATCCTGTACACATTTTACCCTAGTTCCCTAGTTGTATTTATAATAGATACTGGCCTCTTTCAAATATAAATGTGTGAGGGTTGACCATTTCTCTTATTTTTGATATTTCCAGATCAAGTCCAGGGTAAAATCCTATATTTTAGGTCTCAAGAAGCGTCCATGGACAATACTTGGAATTTGCATGAGTGGCGTCCTTTCCACCATTGCTGTAACAATGGTGATCTCCACCATCATGTACTGGAAAAGTGTGAAAAGATCCAGGCTCCACCCGCAGGGCAAAATCCGCAAAATTACACGGGGACCTCCGAGACGCACAGTGCGCTAAGCTGCAAAGTGAACTGGCCATTCATTTGTCCTTAATATGCCATATGTAGCTTATGCTATTGCTTCTTTCTTTTATTTCTAAAAACAAAGCTCTTTAGCTCTACTCATGTCCCCTACCTCAAAGAGTTTTGTTATGTCTGTAAAAGAGTACTTGAAAACAGAATGCAGCACGTACCTGCTAACTACTCATTTGTACACTGTAATTTTATAAAGTGAAGTTTTCTCATAATTTTTTTAATGCCATACTCAGTAATAGTCTTATAAACTGCATCACCGTATCACCTGCAACTGTTTTTGAAAGGTCGTTTTCTACTCATAAGCTTCTGTTTGGGTTCAACGCTATTATTCCTACGAAATTAACTCTGAAATGTAGTACAACAATACAGCTGCAGATCCTGGAGCCAATTATTTTCTTGCTCAGTTCTTGCAAGTTAAACAAACGCTATGGTGACACGCAGGAATCCGTCCTAATTCGGCGGTAGTGCTCCTGTAAGCTTTTGTGTTCGGCAGTCGTCCATCTCACAATACTGTAATGCTTGCCCAGTCTCCTGCTCCATCTAAATTCTCCAAACCTGGACTGGCTCTTTGACTTTCATTTTTTTAGAGACAACTTCCATTAGTCAGCCCTGCTTGTTACATATTTTGGACAAATGAAATTTCTGGGTCACTGTCTGTCCCATAGAGTAAGTCATGTGTTTTCTTTGTACCCTTTTACAGACTCTTCACAAAGGGCCTATGGCCGCCTTTTTGATGCAAACTAAAGATAACCCCATGAAAGCCTTAGGAGTGCTAGCTGGTGTCGTGGGCATAATGGTGCTGATAACTCTCATGATCTCTACTGCCATGTTCTGGCGCAATAAGCGGTCCAACAAAATCACGCCGGTAAGAAGGATCATAAAAAAGAGACAGACCCCACAGTCCCGGACAGTCAGGATGGAGTGGCTGAAGTTCAAGAGGCCCAGCAATGCTGCAGAGAAGTTTGTTGTTGAGGATGATGCCAAGAGCCTACACAACGAGAACAGCAACAACAACATCCAGGTTGTCCCCGTGCCGCCGACCGCCCCTTTGCCCCCGCCGCCCCCTGCCCTGGCTCCCAGGGGGGATGTCCCGGAGTGGCGGG